TACTTGTTTGTTGTGCGCATCACATAGTAAGATTAGCTAATTAACCGGAATAAGAGCACATGTGTTTTCAAAAACAAGATATCATGCTTAGTACAGGCCGATCTTTGATCGGGCGAGCGGGGGTGCTCATTAAATGACCTTTTCCAATCGTACCCAAGTTTCCGAGCCGAGACAACTTTGGTGATGACGGACACGTGGCCTTAGGCATGAGTGAGAAGGGATTGCATCTGTTGGCAAAGCAATCCAAGATACCCTTAGCCAAAGGGAGTGCTTTGAAGCCGTGTGATCAATGCCTTTATAGGAAGCAGCATCGAGTATCATTCAGTTCAACGAGCAAGAGGAAAATAGAAGTGCTCAATATGGTATACTCAGATGTTTGTGGTCCAATCGAAGTGGATTCACTTGGCAAGTATTTTCTGACCTTTATTGATGATGCATCAAGGAAGTTGTGGGTGTATTTCCTGAAAACGAAGCATTAAATGACCTTCTCCAATCGTACCCAAGTTCCCGAGCCGAGACAACTTTGGTGATGACGGACACGTGGCCTTAGGCATGAGTGAGAAGGGATTGCATCTGTTGGCAAAGAAATCCAAGATACCCTTAGCCAAAGGGAGTGCTTTGAAGCCGTGTGATCAATGCCTTTATAGGAAGCAGCATCGAGTATCATTCAGTTCAACGAGCAAGAGGAAAATAGAAGTGCTCAATATGGTATACTCAGATGTTTGTGGTCCAATCGAAGTGGATTCACTTGGCAAGTATTTTCTGACCTTTATTGATGATGCATCAAGGAAGTTGTGGGTGTATTTCCTGAAAACGAAGGATGAGGTATTCCAGCACTTTCAGGAGTTCCATGCAATGGTGGAAAAAGAGACCAGGAAGAAATTGAAGTGTCTTCGCACAGACAATGGTAGCGAGTACACTTCCAATGCTTTTGAAGTATATTGTGCTAACAGAGGTATCCGACACAAAACAACAATTCTCGATACCCCACAACACAATGGTGTGGCAGAAAGGATGAACTGCACTATTATTGAAAGAGTCAGATATATGCTTAGAATGGCAAAGTTGCCAAAGTCATTCTGGGCTGAAGCAGCTCGTACAACCTATTATCTCATCAACAGGTCGCCTTCAGTCCCGTTGAATTTTGTGATACTTGAGGAAGTCTGGTCTAGAAGAAAGGCATTATATTCTCACTTAAGAGTCTTTGGATGTAAGGCATTCGCATACATCTTCAAAGAAAACAGACAGAAGCTTGATGACAAGTCCACTCCATGTATATTTGTAGGCTATTCAGATGCAGCATTTTGGTACATGTTATGGGACCCAGTGAACAAGAAGATGTTCAGGAGCAGAGATGTTGTTTTCCAGGAAGACCAGACAGTAGCAAATTTTGAGAAGTTTGCAAAGTCTAGAGATGTCATCACTCCAGACTTGTTCCCATCTCCTGAGCCATTACAAAATGCTAGATGCGATGATGTGCAACAAGAAGTGCCAGAGTTACAGAATTCTATGCCAGAAATTGAGGATCAGGAGGAAAGAGATAAAGACCCGGATGGAGAGGATGTTGAGCAAAGGGAGCAACCCCTTCAACTAGAGGCAACTGGGCCTTAGTTGCAGAGATCTGACAGAGCTGTCGTGCCATCAACCAAATATCCCACTTCTCAATATATTTTGATTACTGATGAGGGGGAGCCCGAGAGTTTTTCAAAAGCAAAGAGTCATACCAACAAAGACTGTTGGATACAAGTCACGAAAGAGGAGATGAGTTCTTTATAGAAAAACCACACTTATGAGTTTGTCTCACTTCCAAGAGGCAGGAGAGCCTTGAAGAACAAATGGGTATATAAGTTGAAGAAAGATGGCAACGGTAAACTACTGCAGCATAAAGCTCGCTTGGTGGTCAAAGGTTTTGGACAGAATAAGGGAATTGACTTTGATGAGATCTTCTCCCCAGTTGTGAAGATGACTTCCATTCGAGTAGCTTTGGGATTAGCAGCTCGCTTGAATCTGGAGGTAGAACAAATGGATGTCAAAACTACCTTTCTCCATGGTGATTTAGAGGAAGAGATCTACATGGAGCAACCAGAAGGATTTTAAGTTAAAGGGAAACAGAACCTAGTCTGCAAACTGAAGAAGAGTCTCTATGGCCTGAAGCAGGCTCCGAGACAATGGTACAAGAAGTTTGATTCATTCATGGTGGATCACGAGTACACAAGAACAGTAACAGACCAGTGTGTATATTTTCAAAGGTTTTTGGATGGAAACTTCATCATCCTACTGTTGTATGTCAATGATATGCTGATCATCAGATAGGATACTACTATGATCAGCAAGTTGAAAAAGGACTTGTCATAGTATTTTGACATGAAGAATTTAGGTCCAGCATAACAGATTTTGGGCATAAAGATTGTTCGTGAGAAGAAAGCCAAGAATATATGGCTGTCACTGGAGAAATATGTTGAACGGGTGATTGAAAGATTCAACATGAAAGCTGCCAAGCCAGTCAGCACACCACTGGCCAACCATTTCAAGGTGACAAAACGTTCATGTCCCGCGACCAGCTCTGATAGGAAAGAAATGGAGGCAATCCCTTATTCTTCTGCAGTACAGAGTTTGATGTATGAAATGGTGTGTACCTGGCCAAATATAGCTTACACAGTTGGCGTTATGAGCAGATTCCTCGCCAATCCAGGAAAGGAGCATTGGGGGCAGTCAAATGGATTCTTCGGTACTTAAAGGGAACTTCAAAGATGTGTCTATGTTTCGGGGGAGCTGAACCAATTTTGGAGGGTTTTATAGATGCTGATGTGTCTATGTTTCGGGGGAGCCGAACCAATTTTGGAGGGTTATATAGATGCTGATATGGCGGGTGATCTTGATGGTAGAAAGTCTACATCAGGATTTTTATTCACCTTTGCAGGGGGTGCTTTTTCATGGCATTCCAAACTAAAAAAGTGTGTTGCTTTATCTACAACAGTGGCAGAGTACATTGCTGCCACAGATGCTGGAAAGGAAATGTTGTTGTTAAAGCGGTTTCTCCAAGAATTAGGTCTACAGCAGGAAGAGTACAAGGTATATTGTGATAGTCAGAGTGTAATTGATTTGAGCAAGAATTCCATGTACCACTCACGTACAAAGCACATTGATGTCCAGTATCATTGGATACGAGAAGTGATGGAAAAACAATTAATGAAGCTGGTGAAGATTTACACAGACAAGAATCCTTCTAACATGATGACCAAGGTTGTCACCAGAAACAAATTGGAAGTTTGCAAGAATCTGACCGAGATGGACTTTAAGTACAAAAGTCAGTTATCCATATGGGCGTGGAGGAGAAGAATTGTTAGCTGTTCTAGCCCACATGAAGGAGTAGTTAGAGGTTGGCTGCTTTGCTCCAAGTCAAGAAGTAAGAGGGGAGATGGCAGGTGGCAGCCAACCCAATAACTCCTCTTCCTTGATTTTGTTTCCTTCTCTTTTCTGTATAAATTGAGGTGAGGAAGAGAATAAACATAGAAAAACATAGAGTATGTGTTTGAGTGAGAGTTCTATAGAGAGAGAGAGTGTGTGTGTGTGAGGTGTGAGTATTGTAACTCTCTCCGGAAAAATTCTATAGTGGATATCTCTCTCGTGGATGTAGGCAATTGCCGAACCACATAAATATTTTGTGTCTTTTCTGTGTGTGACTGATTTTTGAGTGTGCCTTAATCCTAACATGACTTGTACTAAGATTGTTTGAATTTTTATATTGATTGTAATAAACAGATGTATGCAAGTTTCAATAATAAATTGGCTAGTTAGAGGTGAAAATGTAAAATAACCACTTAACGGCCCAAAAATTGGCACGAGCGCCACACTCAGCCTAAACAAATTTGTAGGAATAAACACATTGAAAAGAGTAATGGTCTCAGATTTAGGGTCGTTCTAGAATATATGTAAGTTATAATATTTTATCTTATTGACTTTTTAATCTAATTGTCTTTCAATAGGCTAAATTAGTCCCAACCCACTTCCCAAACAAGGCCTTAGTAAAAGTTAACTGATACTTGCACTTTTCCTTGCATTCTCAAAAAAGAGATAACATTATACACGGTTGAACTGTAAATGACATTCACGGTCAACCCATGTTCAATTGACATGCAAGCAACGAACGCTACAACAAAAACATACTTTAGTGGCACTATACTAGTGACATATTTTTAAAAAATGTCACAAAAAGAATATTTGGTGGCATGTTTTAGAAAAATGTCATAGAGCCACGAACATAAAAGGCTTTAGTGGCATTTCAATAAAGAAGTGCCACAACACTACCAAAAAAAATGTGATCTAATACTATCAATTTTATGGCATTTTATAAAAGAATGACATAATAAATTATTTTAGTTGATAAATGTCACTAAACTATAGTAGTAATAGCATTTTTTAAAAAATGACACTAAACTAAGTAGGTGTAAATTACTTTTATGACATTAAGTGAAAAGCATCACAAATAAATATTTTATGGCATTTTGAGAAATACCATTAAGCTAAAAATTTTCCAAGCTATCTAATGTCACAAAATAAAATGAAGTCAATATAACATGCTATCAATTGGACTAATTTGAGACAAAATAAAAAATCCAATGTTAAAATTGATTCAATTGAAATTACAAAAATTAAAATAAACACAATAGCAAAAATAGAGAGACTAATAGTGTAATTTGCCCTAATTTTAGTATTTTTTTTAATGACAAATATGCATGTAAGTGACATATTTCATTCTTTTAGAGGCAAAATAATAAATTTGCTCAACTCAGTGAGTTAATCTTCAGTGATCATTTTTCATAAAAAATACTAACAAGATCATTAATTGTACTAAATTGACATAAAATTTATTAAAAGTTAAAACTGATCTAAATAAAAATATAAGGACCACAATTGATATCTATTTTCTTATTTAAAATGTGAACAAATTTATTTATAAATAAATAAATAAAATTTTAACACTAATATCCATGCTTCACTTCATTACTCCACCTTTTTTTATATTATGAAACAAACGAACTAAGGAAACACGGCAAAGAGGCAAAGAGGCAGAATCTATAGAGCAAAATCTGTAGAGCAGCTAGGGTTAGAGACAAAGAGGCAGAAGTCCAACAATTCTGAAATTGGTGAAGAAAATTTGATTTTGGCGGGACAAAGAGACGGGAGCAAAATAATGAAGCAAGTTTATCTTTCAAGCCATCCTTACATACCATCTACTCCACAAAAATTCTGCGTTTTCATCTTCTATAATCAGAGTTTAGTGGTATTCTCTCTTTCTCACTTTCATCAAACACACACAATACATCTATTTTATCACTTATTTATGATCTTGTTTTACTCATAAAACTTGATACAATCTGAGGCAGTAATCTTCTAACTCATGAATATATTAATTTTCAACAATTTTAATATAAAGGGATAGTTGTGATTTACTATTACTTATTTATGTTATGATTTTATATAATGCCTTGCAAATATTTGTTTAAATGCTTCATTGAGATTGGTGATATTGATGGATGGGTTAAGATGGTTTATATATTCGTTGAGCCTCGTGATGGGGCCCTAAAAATGTTCCTTTCGCTGGCTTTATGAGCTTTGGTTTGCTTCCTTAAGATGGGATTGCAAAAGTATAAAATTATGAAAGATTTGGATAAAATAGCTCCCTCTTTCTTCTTTGTCTTATTGTTTTGGCCGATGTGTTTGGGGTCTCCTCACCCCTACATATACGAATGCTTTTTCTTAATATTCACCTTAAAAGGCTTGCATAGTTACATTAAATTGATTGAAGCAATGTAGAATATTATATGGTCAGAGAGCAAAACCTTTCCCTTTTTTCACTAATTTTTATTGGCCACTTCTCCCCTTAAATATTTTAAAATTTCAGTTAGCAATCACAGTCTAAATATGAGTCAAGTCTCAATTATTGCTATCTTATTTCTTAATATTCAACAACGGCAAGATTTGCGATTCTTTATTTGGTAAATTCTAATGTATTATCCTCTGATGCAAGTTGGGTGACGTTTTTTCTTGGGTCCATCTATCTAAGGCAGAGTTTGGCTTTCTTTCTGGTAAAATTTCAAAGTTAGTGTCTCTTCTAGTTTTTTTATTTTATTCTTTCTTTGAATGGATTCTATCACATCTTTTATTTATTTATCCCCTAAATGATCTTTGCTTGGGTCTGCTATTATCCTGTAATCTTTATTTCTTTAGTGTGGGTTTTCCTCTTTTTAATTGCTTTCTCATCTTTCCTCCTTATGTCAGCTTGTTTGTCTATGTTTCTTAACAAACACTCAGAAAAGGGGAAAAATGAAGAAGAAAGGATCTTGTTGTATTTGAGTTTGTTATTAGGAACATTTTTTGTTTTGTTAGTTCTACTAAATTTATTGAGATGAGAATGTGTTTGTATGGCAACATTCAGACATTGGTTTGCAGAGCTTTGGGATCATTATAACCTAATTGCTGTTGTCGATTTTAGGGTCATTTGCTGAAGAAGATATTGCAAGACAAGGCATAACTGCACCATCAATTGCAGGAAATGTAACTGCAAGCAGAGGACTGGAGGTTGCAGTTGCTAATCTTCAGGAATACTGCAATGGTATGCCTCCTTTTTTAAAATTTTTTTTTATTGCGTGTGTGTAGGAGAGGGTTCAAGAACGTCGTGGGAAAATTCGAAGATCTTAGAAGATCCTTGAAGAACAACCTCGAATTCTCTAGAAGATGATGAAAGACTTAGATTCTTCAATAGTCTCAACTTAAGAACACAAGAGTAAAGGAGATGATGGAGATTAGAGATTGGGTGAAAAAAAAGGCGAAGTAGCTAGAAAGAGAATAATGGCAAGGCTCTCCCATGGATCTCCCACTTTCACTCTCAAGGTTGATAATGAAGATAGGAAATTAGTTCTTTCCCAAGAGTCATCTCTCCAAAAATTCATCCCTAGTAAAGCTATGGGTGGGTGCTATTTATAGGCACCTCATGATGTAGGATGAAGCCCATGTGCAAGGCACATGGGGAATATTCTCTCTAACCACCTTGTCCGAGGAGGTGACCTCTCCGAGGATGAGGAAAACCCCGAAGAGGAGATCAACCTCTCGGCGAACCCTTCTTCTTAGCCAAACCTAACCAATGATCCCTAATCATCCCAAAGGGTCAGAGGTAGTCCCAGAGGACGTCCTGCAGCATAAGGGTCAAGGGTAGTTCAAGAGAACGCCCTGCCGCAAATATTGTCGAGTCTCAAGGACCCCTTAGATCATGCCACCTAAACCCAGGTGTAGGCTAGTTTAACCGAAGAGTGAATTTATCTCCACTCACCGTCCTCGGGATCAGGCCCTTTGTTCGAACTCCATTACGCCCATGGTTCTGGTGCGTAGATCCCGGAAAGCTCCGAGCCTACAAGTGTTCTGGGACTCATTAACGGAGCGACTTCTAGATTGCGTCTGAATCTGTTTGAAGTCAAGTGCTTCGGATCTCTATGTTCGTGGATCCGAACCCTTTCGAGTCCGAGTGCCTCGGATCTCTAGGCTTGCTCAATACCCTTTCGAGTCCGGGCCCGAGTAAGTTCGTGAATCCGAACCCTTTCAAGGCTTAGAGCAATTCAGCCCGTTTGATGGCGATAAATCCGGGCCCACCGATCTTGGACTTGCGATAAATTCGAGCTTGCCAATCTTGGACTATTGGGCCTAATTAATTTAGTGGGCTCAAATTAGCTCCTCTTACAGTGTGTCAAGATGCATGAAAATGTAGAATTACCTAATGAAGAATAGTTAAATCATAGACTGTCCTGTTATAAGAAGCTGTAATTTTTCCAGGCAGAAAAGAATCATTAAAATAAATAATTACATCCAAGGAGATCAAGAGAAATTGAAAGAACATCCATAATAATAACTATCAATAATTTATGGTTTAAAATGTAGGAATCTTTCCTTGCAATAGCTAATGAGGCTCAAGAGTTCTTTTCAAGTGATGTGTGTGTGTGTGTGTGTGTGTGTGTGTGTGTAGCTGATGCTATGCAAACACTAGACAAGCAGGTGGTTCCAAGTTGATACTTTGTATGCAAATGTCATCTTAATATTCATTCTAGAGTTAAGGGGGAAGTCGTGGTGTTTGCTATTGTCCAATTGATGTTGCTTAGAATGAGATGGGTTTTCACCTAGAAAGAAAATAAAAAGGGGGATTGGGGGGTTCACGGGGAGGAAAGGTCAGGAAAAGTAGAACTATTATGTAGAAAGCAGCCCCTCTTGTGCCCTTGGTGCATTTGGAAGGACAGAAACCACATATCGTTTGGTGGAATGGAGGGTTGAATGAGAGCATGTATTTATAGGCTCAAAGAATGGGGTGTTTGTTTTGGAAACCCTCCTCAAACAAATATTTAATTGATTTTAATTTCCAAAAATGATAGAAGTTTGTCTCTTTATGGAAATTATTTGATTTTGAATTTGATTTTAGATACTCCACAATTTCTTACTTATTGGGGGATTTTGACATGTGTTGTTATGGGACCCTCATCTTTGGGTTGACCTAACCACTTGATCCAATTGTCAAAATGGGTTGATCATTTGATTTAGGCATGACTCATTATTTGAATAGGTCAACTTTCATGATTTTGGTGGGACCTCCATTGCTTTGAATAATTTGATCACCTTGAGTTTGATCAATCAAAATAATTTAATTTTTCTTAATAATCTGAACGGTGATTAAACCATCTCTTAATTTTGGTATCTACACATGGTAAGTTAGAGTGCACTATAACAAAAAGCACAAATGGCGACTAAAAAAAAAAATTTCATCGCTGAAAGTAGCACTTTCGGTGACTAAAATGGAATTAGTAGCCCAAAGTGAAGACTTTTGGCGACTAAAATAATTTAGTAGCCAAATGTATAGTTATTTGCGACTAAAAATCAATTTAGTCACCGATTATATGGGTTTTAGCGACTAAAGGTTTTTTAGTAGCCAAAAGTGACATTTTTTGGCGACTAAAATAATTTAGTAGTCAAAAGTGACGGTTTTGGCGACTAAAAAACAGTTTGGTCACCGATTATACGTGTTTTGGCGACTAAAAACAGTTTGGTCGCTGAAAGTGAAGCTTTTTGGCTACTAAAAAAAATTTAGTAGCTAAAAACAGGCAATTGGCGACTAAAATTCAGTTTAGTAGCCAAAAGGGGACTTTTTGGCAACTAAAAACAGGTTTAGTCGCCAAAACTGGTTATTTTTAGGCGAAACTTATTTTTTTAGCGACTAAATAATAATTAGTAGCCCAAAATTGGCGACTAAATAATGGATTTAGTCGCCAAAAGTGGCCTCAATTTTTTTTAGTAAATAATTTATTTTTTTCATAAATTATATTAAATAAAAATAATTATTTTTATATATATAGTTTTGTATTAATACCGGTCAATATACTATATAAATAATATATGTTGCATTTATATTCATGTGATGTTGTACTGGCATAGTGGGAGTGTGTGTTGCTAAAGGTTTAGAATGTGGGAGGTTAGTGGTTCGAAACTTGGCAACAGCAGAGGGTAATTTTTTTTCTGAAATATGCTTTTGGCGACTAAAATGTGTTGTCGCCAAAAGATTGACTATTGGCGACGAAAAGCTTAGTCAGCAAATGTATAAATAAAAATAATAATAATTCACTATTGGCGGCTAAAAGATTAGTCGCTAAATGTATAATTTTCAAAAATGCAAATGACTATTGGCGACAAAAGCTTTGGTCGCTGAAGACCTGCTTTTTGCTGACTAAAACATTTTTAGTCGCCAATACCTCCAGCGACCATGTATTCGCGACAAAATCGGCGACTAAAATATTTAGTCGGGGAAAGTGAAAAGTCGACTTTTGGCAACTAAAAAAGGACTTTTGGTGCTTTTTCCTGTAGTGGTGTTTGGTTTTGTTATTTTTTGAGTGGTTGTTATTGATATTTTAAACTATTATTTGATATGGTCAAAATATTTACGGTTGTTATAATTTGTTGTAGTGTGGTGAATCAATTAAGTGATTAAATCGCGTGACTTGCTTATCTACTAGAGAAATATATATCACTTTCAGTTGTGATTATCTTCACTCTGGCACTTTGTACTAGTTTATTTTTTAAATATTATTTATTAATTGTAAATATATAATTACTTAAGTAGTTAAATCTTGATTTACAGGTGGGAGATATAGTTGTTTTAAAAAGTATCATTAGGCCAACAAAAACAGTTGCAAACGGAATACTTAAAAGCACAGACGCATCTAAAGAAGTAAAAGGGAAACACTTAGGACCTGACTATTGGGAGGTACATGTTCAAGTGCCAATCAAACCTAATGAGAGCTTAATTCAATCATATGGACTTGTCAAAACTGTTGGACAAGCTATTGGAGCTCATGTTGCTTGCCCTGCTCCATTTGTGATATATTTCTTTCGTAAATAATAATTTCATTAACAAATTTATATTAACTTAATATAGTTTCAATTACTTTTACAAGTTTATCTTTTGGATGCAGATTTCGCAAGTTATGGATGCTAATCGAGAATATTTATACAAGTGAGGTTGATAATTTGGGAACTAATCAGTGTGTTTAGTTTGAGTTTTTTGGATTAAGTTTTTTGAAAATTGAGTTTTTTATTTTTCGTGTTTTTTTGTTTTTAGTGAATATTTTTAAAATTTTAAGTATTTTTTTTTACTTTTTTAGATGCACCTTATTTAGATGTATCTAAAAAGTAAAAAAAAAAAAATTGTGAAAAAATATTTTAAAAAATTAATAAATACATAAAAATACAAAAAAAAATGTACTGAATTCTCGTTTTTTTTTTTTTGTACTTTTGGTATTTAGTGAATTTTGAAAAGGTTTTTTTTCACAATTTTTTTACTTTTTAGATATATTTATGTTAGGTATATCTAAAAATTAAAAAAAAATTGTTTAAAATATTTAAAAAATTCAGTAAAAACAAAAAAACACGGAAAATAAGAAAGTAGAATTTTCTGAAAACTGTTTTCAGAAAAACAAAACCAAACAAGCTGAATTTTGTTTTGATAATTTGTCTTTCTAGAAGATGGATTTGACTGGCTTTTCAGAACTTATGGTTGGAATAATTTTCTTTTAATTTTTTTTTTTTGGGCTTTAACTTTGTTAGTGTGGTAGAATATTTTATAATTTTGGCAACCGATTTTTATTGCAATATAAATAAATTTATATTTCAATAATAAATAATTGATTGTGATTTGAATTTTTTTTGTTTTTGTTTTTGATGTGATGATCCTATGGTGGTAATATTTGTTTATTATTATAAAAATATTACAAGATGAATGGATGCCAAATTAATATAGGATGTGACAATTAATATTCATTTGTTTATAAAATCGATTCAATTTTTACCGACATTTACACATGCTTAGTTGTAGTTTTAGAATTGTCAATGAAAAGAACATATGAGTGACATTTTGTAGTAGTGACAGTAGCTTTGTAAAGTGTCACTAAAATAAGTTTCAATGTCACTTATATCCATTTAATGACACAAACGAATTGAATTTAGTAGCATTTATAAAGTTGTTATAAATATTAATTGTAAGATAACAAGTGTCATTAAAATTCCATATAGTGGCATTTTTTAGATTGCAAGTCTTTTTTAATGGCACTTGAAAACGTCATGAATAGTGTCTATTATGACATTAAAGTGTCACTAAAAGTGTGTAGCCTTGATGGTGTAATGACACTTAAAAGGGTTACTAACGTGCCACTAACCCTTTTTTTAATAGCGCTTGATAGTGTCACAAATAGTATCTATCATGACATCAAAATGTTATTGAAAGTTTTTAGCCATGATGGTATAGTGGCACTTGCAAGTGTCTATCGTAGCACTAGTATCTACTGTGACATGGGTATAAATGGCACTTATTCAAAACGCCACAAAACTAAAAAATGTCACTGAAAGAGTAGTTCAGTGACACTTTCAAGTGTCACTAAACTAAGAAAATGTTGTAGTGAATGTAGGCCCATCTTTACGCCCCTCTTGCCCAAAGAAAAACCAAAAGAGAAACCAGTTTGCACAATGTCTATACATATACATGTATATGTATGTATATGTGAGAAATGTTTTCATTATATTCTATCATAGAGTAGAATTTGTGATTCAATTTTTGTATGGGTTTCAAGAAAAATTCAATACCAATATCTGTTTAAAATGGCCCTAAAAACAAAACTAAAAAAATTATTAATAAAATCTGGGTTTTAAATTTTCTTTTGGATTTCAAATTTTTTTTCTTTACAATACTAATCAACTTGTTTGGTTTGGTTCTTCATGATTCACTTTTCAAAAAATTAAAATTTTTGTTTTTCATATTTTTTTGTTTTTACTGAATTTTTTTAATATTCTAAGCAATTTTTTTAATTTTTAGATACACCTAACATAAATATACCTAAAAAGTATAATATTTGTGAAAAAATATTTGGAAAATTCACTAAATATCAAAATTATAAAAAAAAAACGAGAATTCAGTATATTTTTCGTATCCTTGTGTATTTATTATTTTTTAAAATATTTTTTTTTTACGAATATTTCACTTTTTAGATACATCTAAGCTACATCTAAAAAAGTAAAAAAATTACTTAAAATTTTTATTCACTAAAAACAAAAAAAAATACAAAAACCAAAAAACTCAATTTCTAGAAAATTGAATCTATAACAGTGAATTAACAAGGATAAAACAGACCTGAAAAAGAAAAAAAAAATTAAATACTGGGGGAAAAAAATTATATGTCAAAGATTATGTTCTTGGTTGATGCATTGTATGAGATGGGATAGCCCAAGAAGACTGGAGGAAAAAAAAAATTAAATACAAAAAAAAAAAAAAAAAAAAAAAAAAAAAAAAAAAAAAACAACAACAACAACAACAACAAAAGGAAGAGAAGAAGCAGCATTAGAAGAAGATCTCAAAAATGTTTGTCTTGCTAAAGAGAAGATGGATAGACTAATAAATTCATAGTAAATTCTTTGTAAATTACTGAATAAATTCTCAATAAATTATGAGTGAATTACTCAGTAAATTTTCACTAAATTACTCAGTAAATTCTGAGTAAATTACTCAGTAAATTTTCAGTAAATTCTTAGTAAATTACTCGGCAAATTACTCCGTAAATTCGTAGTAAATTCTCAATAAATAACTCGTTAGATTTTTAATAAATTCTTTGTAAATTACTCAGTAAATTATTGATAAATTCTCAGTAAATTACTCAATAAATTCTAAGTAAGTTACTCAGAAAATTTTCAATAAATTTTAAGAAAATTCTCAATAAATTCTGAGTAAATTACTCAGTAAATTCTCAATAAATTACTCAGTAAATAGCTCAATAAATTATCAGTAAATTTATGGTAAATAACTTCGTAAATTCTCAGTAAATTTTGTAAATTACTCAGTAAATTTTCGGTAAGTTCTTAGTAAATTACTCAACAAATTCTCAGTAAATTACTCAGTAAATTCTAAATAAACTCTCAGTAATTTACTAAGTAAATTCTCAGTAGAAACTCAATTAAAAAAAAATTATACTTTAAATCTCAAAGTATGTATGTAATGTGTATTATATTGATCACTAATATTTAAACCATATCAACCTAATTTTTAAAATTAGATTAATGTCTATTTCATTAATCATACCATACCCCTATGCTAAATCATAATAAGCGAGTGGAATCTAGCATTAGACTAGTAGTATTGTTTACATTATGGGTAAATCTTTACACATACAAGACAAGAATTGTGAAAATAAAATGATGCATTATTTTTTAAAGTACTTGCAATCATATGTAAACTGTCTATGAACAGAAATCCAGCGAAGTATCTAGAGCAATCGAACCATGTAAGTCAAATCCTTATCTTGAATTCATTATCAGTTGGTAATAACTTGGAATAATATTTTTTTATAACTTATTCCACATCCCACTGATTTGGTTTGGTTTATAAAGTGGACATTGTTAATTAAATAATTAAGGAGCATATAACTAGGTAAGACCGTTTTATATTGTTGTCATCGTTATATTTAAGAAAGATACTCTTTTATAATTTTGTCTGATAACAAAATATACCTAGGAGGATATTACTAGGTGTCTTCGTTGACAACAATGTAGTTACAACTGTTCTTCCACCGAAACAAACATTGAGAAAAAAACAAAAATAGTATATTCAGTAACATCCATGCATTAGTATATTTATATGAATCTAGAAACTCAAATTCCATTACTCATCATCTCACTTGAGTGATATCCTCAATTCCACATGGTGCTTTCTCATCTCCTAAATAATTCATCTTTTTATCTTTTTTTCATCATATCGCCTCTTTATTTTTTTGTAGATATTTTTATAAAAAATTAAAAAATATACTTATTTAGATCGTCCCAAACAATCTCTCGAAAATGGCAAAAGTGGACTCTGAAGTGTGGTTTAACGGTGGTGGCGATGAAGAAGGGTATGATGCTGTTGTAGTGGGGTCTGGATATGGCGGCTCTGTGGCTGCTTGTCGGATGTCAATGGCCGGAATAAAGGTGTGTTTGATGGAGAAAGGCCGGCAATGGCAAGCTCATGACTTCCCAACCGACTTTTTCAAGTTTATGTCCGCCGTGTGGATGGAAAACACCAACTTGGGTTTCACTTTTGGTCCCAAAGATGCTTTATTTCAGGTCATTCTCTGTGTGTCGATTTTTATGTGTACATAAATTATATATATAATGAAACCAAAAACTAAAAACAAAAATAGCCAAAATTTTATGAGATTTATAGGTGACCCACTTCTTGAAAATTTTCTCAGCATTTATGGGATTGTTGGGTTTGTATACTAAGATACAATTTTTAAAATTTTGTTTAGTTTAAATTTTTTTTCCCACGACCAGCTCTGATAGGAAAGAAATGGAGGCAATCCCTTATTCTTCCGCAATACGGAGTTTGATGTATGAAATGGTGTGTACCAGGCCAAATATAGCTCACACAGTTGGCGTTATGAGTAAATTCCTCGCCAATTCAGGAAAGGAGCACTGGGGAGCAGTCAAATGGATTCTTCGGTACTTAAAGGGAACTTCAAAGATGTGTCTATGTTTCGGGGGAGCTGAACCAATTTTGGAGGGTTTTAATTGATTTTAATTTCCAAAAATGATAGAAGTTTGTCTCTTTATGGAAATTATTTGATTTTGAATTTGATTTTAGATACTCCACAATTTCTTATTTATTGGGGGATTTTGACATGTGTTGTTGTGGGACCCTCATCTTTGGGTTGACCTAACCACTTGATCCAATTTTCAAAATGGATTGATAATTTGATTTAGGCATGACTCATTATTTGAATAGGTCAACTTTCATGATTTTGGTGGGACCTCCAGTGCTTTGAATAATTTGATCACCTTGACTTTGATCAATCAAAATAATTTAATTTTTCTTAATAATTTGAACGGTGATTAAACCATCTCTTAATTTTGGTATCTACACTTGGTAAGTTAGAGTGTTTGGTTTTGTTATTTTTTGAGTGGTTGTTATTGATATTTTAAGCTATTATTTGATATGGTCTAAATATTTACAGTTGTTATTTTTATATAATTTGTTGTGGTGTGGTGAACCAATTAAGTGATTAAATCGCATGACTTGCTTATCTACTAGAGAAATGTATATCACTTTCAGTTGTGATTTTCTTTACTCTGGCACTTTGTATTAGTTTATTTTTTAAATATTATTTATTAATTGTAAATATATAATTACTTAAGTAGTTAAATCTTGAATTACAGGTGGGAGATATAGTTGTTTTAAAAAGTATCATTAGGCCAACAAAAACAGTTGCAAACGGAATACTTAAAAGCACAGACGTATCTAAAGAAGTAGAAGGGAAACAATTAGGACCTGACTATTGAGAGGTACATGTTCAAGTGCCAATCAAATCTAATGAGAGCTTAATTCAATCATATGGACTTGTCAAAACAGTTGGACAAGCTATTGGAGCTCATATTGCTTGGCTTGCTCCATTTGTGGTATATTTCTTTCTTAAATACTAATTTCATTAACAAATTTATATTAACTTAATATAGTTTCAATTACTTTTACAAGTTTATCTTTTGGATGTAGATTTCGCAAGTTATGGATGCTAATCGAGAATATTTATACAAGTGAGGTTGAGAATTTGGAAACTAATTTTGTTTTGATAATTTGTCTCTCTGGAAGATGGATTTGACTGGTTTTTCAGAACTTATGGTTGAAATAATTTTCTTTTAATTTTATTTTTTTTGGCTTTAACTTTGTTAGTGTGGTAAAATATTTTATAATTTTGGCAACCGATTTTTATTGCAATATAAATAAATTTATATTTCAATAATAAATAATTGATTGTGATTTGATTTTTTTTTTGTTTTTGTTTTTGATGTGATGATCCTATGGTGATAATATTTGTCTATTATTATGAAAATATTACAGGATGAATGGATGTCAAATTAATATAGGATGTGACAATTAATATTCATTTGTTTATAAAATCGATTCAATTTTTACCGACATTTACGCATGCTTAGTTGTAGTTTTTAGAAGTGTCAATGAAAAGAACATATGAGTGACATTTTGTAGTAGTGACAGTAGCTTTACAAAGTGTCACTAAAATAAGCTTCAATGTCACTAATATCCATTTAATGGCACAAACGAATTGAATTTAGTAGCATTTATAAAGTTGTTATAAATATTAATTGTAAGATAACAAGTGTCATTAAAAATTCATATAATGGTATTTTTTAGATTGCAAGTCTTCTTTAATGGTACTTGATAACGTTACAAATAGTGTCTATTATGACATTAAAGTGTCACTAAAAGTGTGTAGCCTTGATGGTGTAATGACACTTAAAAGTGTTACTAAAGTGTCATTAACTCTTTTTTTAATAGCGCTTGATAGTGTCACAAATAGTATCTATCATGACATCAAAATGTCATTGAAAGTTTTTAGCCATGATGGTGTAGTGGCACTTGCAAGTATCTATCGTGGCACTAGTATCTACTGTGGTATGGGTATAAATGGCACTTGTTCAAAACGCCACAAAAGAGTAGTTCAGTGATACTTTCAAGTATCACTAAACTAAGAAAATGTTGTAGTGGAATGTAGGCCCATCTTTACGCCCCTCTTTCCCAAAGAAAAACTAAAAGAGAAACCAGTTTGCACAATGTCTATACATATATATATATATATGAGAAATGTTTTCATTATATTCTATCATAGAGTAGAATTTGTGTTTCAATTTTTGTATGGGTTTCAAGAAAATTCAATACCAATATCTGTTTAAAATGACCCTAAAAACAAAACTAAAAAAATTATTAATAAAATCTGGGTTTTAAATTTTCTTTTGGATTTCAATTTTTTTTTCTTTACAATACTAATCAACTTGTTTGGTTTGGTTCTTCATGATTCACTTTTCAAAAAATTAAAATTTTTTGTTTTTCATGTTTTTTTTGTTTTTATTGAATTTTTTTAATATTCTAAGCAATTTTTTTTAATTTTTAGATACACCTAACATAAATATACTTAAAAAGTATAATATTTGTGAAAAAATATTTAGAAAATTCACTAAATATCAAAAATACAAAAAAATATGAGAATTCAGTATATTTTTCGTATATTTGTGTATTTATTATTTTTTAAAATATTTTTTTTACGAATATTTCACTTTTTAGATACATTTAAGGTACATCTAAAAAAGTAAAAAAATTACTTAAAATTTTTATTCACTAAAAACAAAAAAAAAATACGAAAAACAAAAAACTCAATTTTTAGAAAATTGAATCTAGAACAGTGAATTAACAAGGATAAAACAGACCTGAAAAAGAAAAAAAAAATTCTTATTTATTTATATGTCAAAGATTATGTTCTTGGTTGATGCATTGTATGAGATGGGATAGCCCAAGAAGACTGGGGAAAAAAAAATTAAACACAAAAAAGAAGAAGAAGAAGAAGAAGAAGAGAAGATTGGTAGATGCGTTGTATGAGATGGGGTAACTCAAGAAGACTGAAAAAAAAAAAAAAAAAAAAAAAAAAAAGAAGAAGAAGAAGCAGCATTAGAAGAAGATCTCAAAAATGTTTGTCTTGCTAAAGAGAAGATGGATAGACTAATAAATTCATAGTAAATTCTTTGTAAATTGCTGAATAAATTCTCAATAAATTATGAGTGAATTACTCAGTAAATTCTCACTAAATTATTCAGTAAATTCTGAGTAAATTACTCAGTAAATTCCCAGTAAATCTTAGTAAATTACTCAGTAAATTACTCCGTAAATTCGTAGTAAATTCTCAATAAATAATTCGTTAAATTTTTAATAAATTCTTTGTAAATTACTCAGAAAATTATTGATAAATTTTCAGTAAATTACTCAATAAATTCTAAGTAAGTTACTCAGAAAATTTTCAATAAATTTTAAGAAAATTTTCAATAAATTTTGAGTAAATTACTCAGTAAATTCTCAATAAATTACTCAGTAAATAGCTCAATAAATTATCAGTAAATTCATGGTAAATAACTCTATAAATTCTCAATAAATTTTATAAATTGCTCAGTAAATTATCGGTAAGTTCTTAGTAAATTACTCAATAAATTCTCAGTAAATTCTAAATAAACTCTTAGTAATTTACTAAGTAAATTCTCAGTAGAAACTCAATTATAAAAAAAAAAAAAATTGTACTTTTAATCTCAAAGTATGTATGTAATGTGTATTATATTGATCACTAATATTTAAACCATATCAACCTAATTTTTAAAATTATATTAATGTCTATTTCATTAATCATACCATACCCCTATGCTAAATCATAATAAGCCAGTGGAATCTAGCATTAGACTAGTAGTATTGTTTATATTATGGGTAAATCTTTACACATACAAGACAAGAATTGTGAAAATAAAATGATGCATTATTTTTTAAAGTACTTCCAATCATATGTAAACTGTCTATGAACAGAAATCCAGCGAATCGAACCATGTAAGTCAAATCCTTATCTTGAATTCATTATCAGTTGGTAATAACTTGGAATAATATTTTTTTATAATTTATTCCACATCCCACTGATTTGGTTTGGTTTATAAAGTGGACATTGTTAATTAAATAATTAAATAGTTAGGGAGCATATAACTAGGTAAAACCGTTTTATATTGTTGTTATCGTTATATTTAAGAAAGATACTCTTTTATAATTTTGTCTGATAACAAAATATACCTAGGAGGATATTACTAGGTGTCTTCGTTGACAACAATGTAGTTACAACTGTTCTTCCACCGAAACAAACATTGAGAAAAAAACAAGAAAAAGTATATTCGGTAACATCCATGCATTAGTATATTTATATGAATCTGGAAACTCAAATTCCATTACTCATCATCTCACTTGAGTGTTATCCTCAATTCCACATGGTGCTTTGTCATCTCCTAAATAATTCATCTTTTTATCTTTTTTTCATCGCATCGCCTCTTTATTTTTTTGTATATATTTTTATAAAAAGTCAAAAAGTATACTTATTTAGATCGTCTCAAACAACCCTCAGAAATGGCAAAAGTGGACTCTGAAGTGTGGTTTAACGGTGGTGGCGATGGAGAAGGGTATGATGCTGTTGTAGTGGGGTCTGGATATGGCGGCTCTGTGGCTGCCTGTCGGATGTCAATGGCCGGAATAAAGGTGTGTTTGATGGAGAAAGGCCGGCAATGGCAAGCTCATGACTTCCCAACCGCCTTTTTCAAGTTTATGTCCGCCGTGAGGATGGAAAACACCAACTTGGGTTTCACTTTTGGTCCCAAAGATGCTTTATTTCAGGTCATTCTCTCTGTGTCGATTTTTATGTGTACATAAATTATATATATAATGAAACCAAAAACTAAAAACAAAAATAGCCAAAATTTTATGAGATTTATAGGTGACCCACTTCTTGAAAATTTTCTCAGCATTTATGGGATTGTTGGGTTTGTATACTAAGATAAAATTTTTCAAATTTTGTTTAGATTAATTTTTTTAAAAAAAACTTCAATATCAGTTTCAATTTCTTACACATCAATCAATCTTTTTTTTTTTTTTTCCCACATTCTCTCATTCTCTCACATCTTACATATCAATCAATCACCTTTTTTCTCTCATACCCATCTATTCAACCAAAAAATAAAAATAAAAAAAGGCTTTATTTGGTTTAGTTTTAGAATCATTATTTGATTGTGGAGTTATGATTTAAGTGTGGAATTGTGAGTTGAGTTAAATTTTGAAAAAGTTTTGAATTGTATTTTGAGTTTTATTTTGAAATTTTTTAGATTTATTTTTTTAATATATTTAAAAATGTTTAAGAAAAAATTATTTTTTATTTTAAATATTTTATTTTTTTAATATTTTAAACTCAAAGCACAACT